GGTGATTCAAAGCGATCAGTGAAAAATAAAGCTAGAGTTGAAGGATCTATATGTGCACATTACTTGCATCGAGAAACATCACATTTTGCAGTCATTATTTCAATCACTTGATGTTAACTCCTAGAATCATATGGAATCCTATAAATATCAACGAGAGAAGTCAATTCACCTTATCAGTCTTCGGGCGTCCAGGTCGTCCCTCTGGAAAGAAGGGTGTACATTGGTTGACCCAAAAAGAAATGCAATCCGCACATGTCCATGTCTTGATCAATTGCGTTAAAGTTAAACCATATCTTGAGTAAGTATATCCCAACTGTTTAATTTTCTTTGCAGTGTTAATATAAAACTTATTATCTTGAAACTTATAGTGTGTTTCTTTTTAGGGAATTTAACATCGCCTATTTTCATAGTGTTGGTGTACAATCAACATATGATGTCATTCATGCTCAATTTCGAGCATGGTTCAAGGAGAGATTGTCTAACATTGTTGCATTGACTCCAGAAATACTCCATTTGAGAAACTTGTTTGAAGGCCCTACTGAAAGCGCAAATAAATGGAACACATACTTCGTGAACAAATATAAATTTCACACTGAGACATGAACTGAAGGGAAAAAACCATAAACAGTGGTGTATTTGTAAAAGGAGTTACAAATGGCGGTGAAGATGACTTCTATGGATTTGTTAAACATATCTACGAGTTGGTATACAATTACTTGGACTCGGAAAATAAAGTTGTCTTGTTTTATTGTGAATGGTATGATCCAACTAGAAGCACAAAAATAGATAAGTCATATGGTACTGTTGAGATTCAAATGGATCGGAGGTACAAAGAGTATGACTTTTTTATAATGTCACATATTGTTAGACAAGTTTACTATGTTCCTTATCCTTCACTTGTACCATGTAAACGAGGATAGTGTGTTGTAATAAAAACAAAACCCCTGGGTCATATTGAAAGTGGAGATCTAGTGGAAGATGTTGCTTACCAAGTTAATGAAGTTCAGCAAATTAATGATGTGATTGCAGATGAACAAATTACGAGTTTGTCTGATATAATGGTTGAGAGACATCAAGTTGATGCGTCTATATTGTTGGTTGATAATAATGTGGACGGAGAGCATGATGAAGAGTTTGGATCCGAGGACAATATCACATCAGATGATGAGAATGATATGGATGACGAGCATGGAGATTTAGAATAATGAACTATTTATTAAATGTGTTAATGAATATGTATTGATGGGAATAATGAATCATCTATTGAATGTGTTAATGAATATGTATTGAAGAGAATGTATTTTTCAAATTTAGTATTTTTGTTGATGAATATATATATTAACTGTGTAATCGATATAAATAAGTAAAATGCCACCTCGAATTGATAAGAGTAAAGATAGTGGTAAAAAAGTCCCAACGACCGAGGTTAGTAACATGTGAGGCACCTCAGTCGGCCACGTGCCCTCCCTCGCAGAGTCAGGTCGATCCTATGTTCATGGCCAATACTCAGCCTTTTGTGCCATTACTCTCCTCTGAGAATATGTCATTCCCATTTGGGAGTTCTTATTTTATTAGCCCGTATGGGCTACCATATTTTGTTAAGCCACCTGGTTTTATTTTCCCGCAGACCCAAATACCCTCATCCTTCCAGCATATTGGAGGACCCAGTTTTCCACATTCCACACAGATGCCTTCATCCTTTCAACAGACTAGAGGATCTAGCACCCCACATCTCACACATATGCCCTTATCCTTCTAACAGACTGGAGGATCCAGCACCCCACATCCCACACAGAGCAGAGGATCTCGCACCCCACATCCCACACATGTACCTGCACGTGAGGATGATCATGCGCAACCAGATGATGATGATGATGATGATCATGTGGATGGGGATGATGACGTGTTAGATGGAAATGATCTTCGAGGGAATGATGATCCGAGTGAGATTCATGTCATTGACGAGAGATTTTGGATTTGACCCGAAGGAAACTCGTAAGTTTCTTATTTATAAATTTTTATTTAAGAATACATTTTCATTTTTAATATAAATTTATATTTAATATTGCTAATTTAAATTATTGTTGTTTAGTTTCTCGCCGAGTCGGACTGCTGTCAAGGTTATAAATTATATAATTCAGCAGATGTATAAACAATTTTGGAAGACCTTCAAAGATGTCAAAAATAAAGAAGTCTGGTTTAACAAATTTAAGGTATAATTAATTTATTTTTTAGTTATTGTTATTTAAATTAATTTTTCATTATAATTATCTAACTATTTATTTTAATGTCATACAATATTGCAGGAAAAGTGTGTGCAGGACCCATTGAACGAGAAGATGATAAAAAAATTATTATGGCAGAATCTCAAGACGACTTTCGGACATAATGCGGCGTGTTAGAGAGCGTTGGGAACTTCAGGGTATCCGTCCCAATTGGATAGGGAAAGAGGTTTTTGAGGAACTTTTTAAATATTGGGAGTCACCCGAATTTCTGATTAAATCTGAAAATTTTAAGAAGATGAGGACATCTGAAAAAGGGGATTGCGTTAATGCAGTTGAAAGTGTAAGTACCGCAGAGCATGTTCGACGTATGATAAATATTACCACTTTTTTAAGTTATATTTTGATTCATAATATATTTTATTAATTAATGTTAATTTTATTATTTAGACCAAGAATTTAGAGAAACCTCCATTAATAATTGAATTGGTTAAAAAGACTCGGATAAAGAAAACCAGGAATTTTGTTGACGAACGCACTCTAAAAACTTTCGTAATTTATTTAATTTACGTTGTTGTTTATATTTTTTATTTATTTAATGACAATTTTGTGTTGTGATTTTCACGTGACAACTCAGAAACTGTGACGTGAAAATCATGTGACAATTGAGAAGCCGTGGCGTGAAAATCACGTGGCAACTTTTGTAATATAATATAATTTAATTTAATTTAATTTATTAAATATTTAACTTAATTTTTTATTGAATGTATCAGAGGATTATCAGACATTGCTCGCAAATTTTCTGATTCATAATCCTCAATATACTCTGAGAGAGGGAGAACCGCTTCATCCAAATGTGAATTTTTATATTTGGGATCAAGTTATTGGCGGAAAAGGCTCTAATGGTTTTTTGTGGTGGAAATTTGACGGGCACCTTGAGAAGTAGGGATAGAACTCTATTTCAAAGAGTTAGAGATGGGGAAAGGGGGTCACATCAACCAAATTTGACACTAGAACAACTTGAAATGGTAAGACAATTGACGTTAAATGAGGCGAGACGCGAGTCAGCGCAACGTGGGGCGACAATGAAAGCCCAAATAGAAGCTCAAATGGAGGCAATGAGGCAAGAGCAACAACGATAAATGGAGGTCATGGCGAAGAGGCAAGCTGATATAGAGCAACAAATAAGACAATTTATGCAAGAGTTTGGTGGAAATCAAAACTTTCGTGGTCAAGAGTCGGAGGATGACGGAAACGAAGATAATTTTGACATTGACAATTAAACCAACCAAGATGATCTGTAAACTTTAATTTTTTTATTTTACTTTCAAATTGAAATTTGTGTACCATACTAATTAATTAAACCTACTAATTAATTCTTAAATTTATAATTTTAGTTTATTAATTTTATTATATTAAATTTAATATATTGAATTTATTATATATTGAATTTATTATATATCAAATTTATTAATTTAATTTATTATATATTGAATTTATTAATTAATATTATTAATTTAATTAATTATAAAAGAAAAACTAATTTTAATTATTAAATTGTCACAAAGTTGTGACGTGAAAATCACGTCGCAACCTCATTTTTATATATAAAAAAACAAAAACTAAAGACTAAAGCAGTATTAAATGTAATTATTTAGTGACGTGATTTTCACGTCAATAATTTATGACGTGAAAATCACGTGGCAAATAAAGTAACTTTATCTTTGCATCACCTCTTTTTCTTGCAACGTTGTTAATCCTACAAAAGTATGTTGCGACGTGATTTTCACGTCACAAGTATGTGACATGAAAATCACGTCGCAAATAATTTGCCACCCTCTTCTCAGCCATGTGATTTTTCAAGTTGTGATGTGAAATATACGTCGCAAATAAGAGTATTTTTTTAATATATTTTTAAAGCACAATCATTTACATTAGAATTTTTTTTACAATAGAACGAGTTTTTTAAAGCATGCCTCTACTTCCATATTTAAATAGTTACTTCATTGCATGAGTTTGGTCTATGTTCAATATTTTTCTTTTCAATTTTGAATATATTCTTAGTATGTCTAAGGTGTCAACCCATCTGTAACTTTGTCCTCTATAGTAATGAGTCTGAATACCATTTTTTACTTGAAAAAAAGATAGACTTCTTCTGTCAATATGCATAAGGGATCACAAAGTTCGAACTGTTCGGATTCTATGCTAAGTTCAAACTAACCAGTTATGCTTTATTCACAATGGTGGTAGTTATAAACAACTTATAATGCCACCTAATACCGATGAAGGGAGTTCAATATTCCGCTTATCTGAGTCCTAAAGGTAAGTGTGGTCATGATTTATTCATAAGTGTGCTCATGATTTGGAGACTGACTATCTGCTTATAATTTTTTTTTGCCTGTCATCTGATTCTATTGAGTTCTTCCAATTTGTCTTGTTTACCTGGTTCTTTAATCCAGAAAAACAGACTATGAAGAGATGAACTTATATTCTATATACTTTGAATTAATAAAGTGTTATGATCGTCCTGCAATGCTACAATTCAAGTGACATGATTAGATATTTTCTCTAATTTTATTTGTGGTTTAATTATGGCAAGGATGACACAAGAGTTGAATATGAGATTGAGACAACAAAAGACTAACTAAGTGAACAAAAATGCATTTATGTTGTCAATTAAAGATAAAATTTACTCAGGAGAAAGCAAATACAAACTGTGGCATTAACCTTATTCTAATATGAAAAAGAAAGAGGCGAAGAAGAAAAATAAAAATAGAATCACTCATGGTCATGGTTTCTCTTCATCTTCATCTTCTTTAATTTGGCCACTTTTATTACAATTGCCACATATATCTCATCACCAACATCTTCCACCCATCTGAAGTAAGCATGTCTCCAATTCTTCTTGAACCACAAAGTGAAAATAACTCCCCATAACCCAGTCCCAAAGCCGAGTGCTATCACAAAGTAGAACCATACTTTTTCTATCCCATCTTCATCCTCATTACCTTTTCTTTCAGAAGCTCCATGTGAAAGATCACCAGGGCACGTGTTTGGAAGTGGCGATCCACAAAGGTATGGGTTGTAAGCATAAATAGACGGGTCATTAAAAGTTGAGAACTGATTATCTTTAGGAATTGGTCCTGAGAGATTATTGTGAGACAAGTTTAAATGACTCAATGAAGTTAAAGCAGACATGGTGTTGGGAATTTTTCCTGAAAGTTGGTTATGAGACATGTCCAAGGATTCTAGTGATTTCATGTCTCCTATCAATTGAGGGATCTCTCCTGTCAATTGATTTTTTGACAAGCTCAAATCATGAAGACCTGTGAGAAAAGTGATTTCATCAGGAATGACTCCAACCAAATTATTTTCTGACAAGTCCATGTGAACTACAAGATTCAAGATTTTAGTATAGTTAAGTTCCACTCCTTTCACCACTTCCATGGCGTCTTGACTAGTCCATCCTTGAAAAGAAACTTCTTCAAATGTTATTGGAGACATTGCTGGAGCCAATGGTGTTAATGTCATTCCTTGAAGGTGGCCTATGCATCGAGGTATCGAGCCATGTAATTTGTTTCTAGAAAGGTCCAAAATTTTGAGGGACTTGAGTTGACATAACTGCGTAGGAATGCTGCCATTCAACATGTTTTGCCGCAATCTAATAATTTGCACTAGAGGAAATGTGTCTATTGTCCATGATGATGGTATACTTCCAGAAAACTGATTCTCACCAAGATCCAAAATCAACAACTGTTTCAAATTTCTAAAAGACACAGGAAGCTCTCCTTGAAGATTATTATTGTTCAAATGCAACCAAAGCAGTACGGGAAGATTCCCAAATGAGTTTGGGAATGCTCCGGTTAGTTTGTTAGATGACAAGTTTATCTCAGACAATATTTCTAGACTATCCTCCCAACAATTTGGAATTTCACCCGACAAATTATTCTTTGAAAGGTCAAGGCTGTTAAGTGGAATTTGGCACAAAGAGATGGGGATTGAACCATTTAAGTGATTATTTCCTAAAAACAAGCCCTCTGAAAAAGACAATGATATAAGACTAATATTTTTTGGAAGTGAACCACTTATTTGATTATGAGAAAGATTCAAATAATTCAAATTTAAATGACATCCTTTTTCCATAGACATTGTTCCATCCAGCATATTTGAAGAAACATCTAAATGAAATAAGTTAACAAGTTGACAAAGACTTTTAAGAACAAACCTATTAAAATTATTGTTTGAAAGGTCAAGATAATCTAAATTTGTAAGTTTTCCTAGGCTTTCTGGAATAGAACCATCTAATTTATTAGAAGAGATGTCTAAGGTATATAAAGTGACAAGTTGGCAAAGACTTTCCCAAATGACCCCATTAAAAGAATTGTTTGAAAGATCAAGATAACGTAGATTTGTAAGTTTCCATAGATTTTGAGGAATTGAACCATAAAACTTATTAGAAGAAAGATGTAAGTCGGTTAAATTGACAAGTTGACTTATACTTTCAGGAATGAGCCCTTCAAATATATTATTGGAGAGATGTAACTCATGCAGTTTTGACAACTTTCCTATTGACAAAGGGATAGGTCCATGGAGATAATTTGAAGTAAAATCAAGATATTTTAGATTTTCAAGTTTCTCCAACCAAGTTGGCAGGTGGCCACTGATATGATTATACCCTAAATCCAAGTACTCCAAATCATATCTAATACATTTAGATATTTCAAAGTGTTCCATTGATTCTATATAAAGCTTGTTTGTTGATAAAATCAAAAATTTTAGGCGGCACATGGAATTTATGATTGATGATAGAAAGTAATCTTTTAGTGCGAGTTGATTCCAACTAAGATCAAGGTACACAAGTCTCTTCAAATCAACAAACCTTGATGGAATGGAAGTTAAATTATTGTGAGAAAGATCAAGATGAGTAAGTTTTTCAAAGTTGCAAAACCATGATGGAACTAATGTGAAACTGTTTCCAGAAAGATAGAGTGATTCAATGGAAGTCATGTTTTGAAAAGACTCGAGAATTGGACTAGGAAGCATATTAAGTGAGAGATCTAGATAGACAAGAGATGTCTTGTTTTGGAAAGCATGAGGAGGAATGAGTGAATTGTCAAGTTCACAATCATATAAGGAAAGATGCAACAAGGATGGGAGTAAATTGAGTACCTGGAATAAGTTGTGTGTGTCCTTGATGGTAACCCAACTCAAGTCAAGGTGATTGAGTGAATGAAGTTTAGATATCCAAGTGGTGTCCCCGTTCAATTGTAATAAGGAGCCAAAACGGTAATTGAAGCTGAGATCAAGAAATTGTAGGCTTTTAAGATTTCCGAGACTGATGGGAATGTTTCCGCTAAAACCAGCGTCTGAGAGAGAGAGATGCTCAAGGCGTCCCATGGAGCCAATGAACATAGGAATTGAACTTCCACTGAAATCATTTCCAGACAAGTCCAAATAAGTCAAGTGTTCCAATTGTAGCAAAGACGAGCTGACATTTGGAGATTGTACCAACATACAGGCCATTTGACCATAAAAATTGTATTGAACGTCGAGATAATCTTCTCCTCGTGGCTGCCAATATGGCGAGTAACAAGGATTTCTGAGATCAAGTTTGACAACATGTCCAGTAACATTGTCACAGCCAATGCCTTCCCATTGGCAACAGTAAGTACCTTTCCATGAGGTAAGCCTGTTTGATGAGTGTTGTGAAATGGATGCTTTGAAATCAACAAGGGCTTGTCTCTCTTTTTCTATGCAAGGGACATTTGAATTTGCACACAAGCATGATTGTGAAATTATAATCAACACCAAAAGTAGTACTACACATTTGTAATATCTTGCCATGTTTTTTCTCTGTTTCTATTGGAATTGGTTGATGGTTTTCATTTTACTCACACAACTTATATATATATATAATACAATACAACTACCATTTTCAATTGTAGCAATTAAATACAACTTCCTCGAAGCATCAAACTCAACCAAACATCACGGCAAGCTTTTTATAAAAGAATACTTAGTATTTAAAAATAATGTATTTTAGTGACACATTTTTTTCCAGAAGATATTTATATTTAGATAGAGAGTAGTAGTGAATTACTGACCATACAATTTTTCCTTTTTTAGTTAAATCAATATAATATATTTTTTTAGGTTCAAATATGTCAATCGACTTTCAAAATTAGCGAGAAGGACAATTGGTGTATTATAATTTTTTTCAAATGATACATAGGAAAATTTTACCCTATACCTACAATTATCCTTCTACTCCTACAATTTTGAAAAGATTTTAAGTATATTCTTTTTCTATTTTCACTCTTATGTTTTATTTTTTATTATTTTTACTGTTTATTTTGACACATGTGAAATTGACAAGTGTGGATCCATTACTATAAATTGGATAATGTGCGATGCAGAATTCTAGTATGTTTATTTTCTAAATCGGAACTCTTTGATATATAACTTCCGATTTACATTTCATATCAATCGGATAACTATTGTGACTGAAATCTGGTTCGTTTGTTAATAATCGGATAACCTGGCTTTGCGTTTTTCGGTTTGTAATAATCATCAACCGAAAATCATTAATCAATGTATTCCGGTTTTGATATTTATACCAACCGGATTTCTATTACACTAGTATTTCGGTGCTTTTTTTCTTCATTTTTAAATTTTTTTTAATGTTGTTAAACATGTGATATTCCTTTGATATGCGCTAAAAACCATACATGCGTAGATACCACTGAAATATGTTCATCAACACAACGATTTGCTACAAAAGAAGAGGCGATAAGGTGGATTAGGGAGGTTGAAATCAGGAATAAAGGGACAGTTATAATAACTCGTTCAGATACCAAAACAGACAAAAAAGGAAGAAGTGATAAAGTAATATTTGGTTGTGATAGAGGTGGAAAATACAAAGAAGGAGATAGTGAAACACAAAATACTAGTAAGAAATGTGGTTGTCCTTTCAAAATTAGATCAACACCGTCAAAAGATGGTTCTAGATGGAAGATTGATGTAAAATGTGGACTTCACAACATGGGTTACCTGATACATTTGAAGGTCATGCGTTGTGGGTCGACTAAATGCAGATGATAACGAGCATATTGATTTGACAAAACGCCATGTTCCACCAAGACACATATTGTTGTCATTGCAAGCGAGATCCAGAGAATGTCACTCGGATCATGCAAATATATAAATATAAGAGTAAGATATATAAAGACATAAGGGATCCTAGAACAGAAATGCAACATTTGTTTACGCTGATAGAGGATTCAGATTGTGTTTACTGGAGCAAGAAAAAAGATGAGTCGGGAGTTGTGCGAGATATTTTCTGGGCTCATCCAGAATCAGTGAAGTTGTTGAATATGTTTTCTATTGTGTTGATTATGGATAGCACATACAAGACAAACAAGTATAGGCAACCTTTGTTTGAAATAGTTGGTTTGACATCAACTAAGTTAACATTTGTTGTTGCATTTTGCCTATATGGAACCAGAGCAGACATAAATTTGTTGTTGGGTATTGGATAAGTTGAAAAAGTTGTTTACTAAGCAGGGGTTTTAGCCACAAGTGATGTTGACTGATAGAGATATTGCTTTGATGAAAGCAATTGAAACGATATTTCTAAAGACAATTAATTTGCTGTGTCGATTTCACATCAACAAAAATATGAAAGCGAAGTGTAAGGAATATGTTGTGGCTAACATGCGAGAGCCAATAGAGAAAATGTGGTATGAACTTATAAGAGCTAGTGATGAGGTAGAGTATTATCAACAATTGCAAAGACTTGAGCATGCATGTGTTGACTTTAAAGCATTTATTGATTATGTGAAAGATATATGGTTGACTATACATATGCATAGATTTGTCGAAGCATGGATTAATCAAGTGTTGTATTTTGAAAAAACCACGACTAATAGGTATCTTTATCTTAATATTACTTGATTTTATTCATAGTTTGTTTATATTAATATTACATGTACTTGTTTTTTATTTTATTTTAAGGGTTGAGTCCGCACATTGGAAACTGAAGCAGATGTTGGAGAACAGTTTAGGTGATATGTGCAAATGTTAGGAGGCAATGAATGGAAATCTCAAGATACAATTGAGTAGTATTGGAGCTTCATTTTATAAGAGTTTTTATGAAGTTGAGCATGCACACACTAGTCCATTTTATGAGAATTTGCATGGGTCGGTATCCAAAGTTGCTATGAGGCATATTGCTGAAGAGTGGCCGAGGGTTGACATTATGGGTACAAACACCCAAATATGCAGGTGTACTCATAAAAAAGTATATGGGTTACCTTATGCTTGTGAGTTAGGGAGATACACACTGAGCGGTGATCCGATACCAATTGGGGTTATTCACATACATTGGAGAAAGCTAAGTATGAAAGGCAAACAAGAGGAAGATGAAAATGATGGATCTGAGGTGGACATGACCAATGTAATTGAGGAAATTTAGAAAAGGTTCAAGTCACTGGATGTTGTAGGAAAAAGAGCATTAAAAAGTAGGGTGTGTGAAATTTCTTATCCCACAACAACAAATATGTCGCGACCGCCTGAAAAAATAGAAACCAAAGGAGGGGTGAAGAAGAATTAGAAGAAACATGTGGGATATGATGTTTATCACGACCCTTCATATCATGAGTATGTTGATCGAGCATACTCGAGTTCCCAAAAATCTTCAAAGAGGGCATGTTCATAATTATCACAAACCTCAAAGAATAAACCATCTAGTAATTTCATTGCAAAACCAACAAACAAAATAAAGGCAGGATGCTGTAAATATAGCAGCAAGAATTGGCTGCAAAACCAGCAAACAAAGCAAGCATAAGCAGCAAGAACAGGCTGCAAAACCATCAAACAAAGCAAGCATAAGCAACAAGAACAGACTGCAAAACCAGCAAACAAAGCAAGCATAAGCAGCAAGAATAGGCTGCAAAACTAGAAAACAAAGCAAGCATAAGCAGCAAGAACAGGCTGCCAAACAGCAAGCTGCTATACAAGCAGCACAATATACAAACAAAATAGCAGCATGTCAAACAACAACAAAATACGAACAGAATAGCAGCCTAAGCCTGCAGCATAAAGCAAACAGCACAGTAGAACAACAACAGAACAATAGCAAGCTTGCTCAACAAACAAGCTATCATCACTTTCCTAGAAAATTTCAAACCCTTCAGAAATTTTGGAATAAAAAACAAGTTTGCTTTACATCATTGAGAGATGAGAGAGGGATGGATATCACCTAAACATACAACAATCCAAACAACTTGCAAAACTATACCAAGTTAGCTTTTCACTTTAATGCTATACCTCAGTCCAAAACCTGCACAAATTTGCACCAAAATAGACATGCCTTAAACTGCACTCAAAAGGCAGCAAGTCATCATTCCAAAACAGTCCAAAATTCTGCACCCAAAGGCCACAAGGTCAGTTAACCAAAAGTGTTCATTTGTGAGGGCTTTATGTGTGTCATTTTCATATATCATTATTAAAAGCATTGGACGTTTTCTTGCATTTCAAATTTTGCGCTCCTTGTTTTTCTTTATTATATATTGCAAAACAGCTATTTTACACACACTCACATACACAGGTCTACATCCACTATAGATCCTACTGGTAACGACTCTGCTACTGCCAGCTATGACTTTGAAAATCCGATCAACTTAGCCGAAGACGAAGGTGAAGATGATTGCGAAGTGCCTGGTGAACTTGCAAGACTGTTACTTCAGGAAGAGAGGGTCATTCAACAACATGAAGAGCCAGTGGAAACAGTGAATCTGGGTACCGAGACAGATAAGAAAGAGGTCAAGATCGGTGCAAATCTGGAAGCTAGTGTGAAACAACGGTTGATTCAAATGCTGCATGACTATGTTGAGATCTTTGCCTGGTCTTACAAAGATATGCCAGGGTTGGATACTGATATTGTGGTTCATCGCCTGCCTACCAAGGAAGACTGTCCTCCAGTTAAACAGAAGGTTCGCCGTATGCGCCCAGAGATGTCTGAGAAAATCAAGGATGAGGTGATGAAACAGTTTGACGCCGGTTTTCTAGCAGTTACTTCTTACCCTCAATGGGTGGCCAATGTGGTTCCGGTGCCGAAGAAGGATGGTAAGGTCCGAATGTGTGTTGACTATAGGGATCTGAACAGGGAAAGCCCCAAGGATGACTTCCCTCTACCTCATATTGACATTCTGGTTGACAACACTGCCCAACACAAGGTATTCTCCTTCATGGATGGTTTATCCGGTTATAATCAGATCAAAATGGCTCCCGAAGACATGGAGAAGACGACCTTTGTTACTCAGTGGGGTACCTTTTGCTACAAGGTCATGCCTTTTGGACTAAAGAATGCTGGGGCAACGTATCAGTGTGCCATGGTTGCTTTGTTTCACGACATGATCCATCATGAAATTGAAGTATACGTCAACGATATGATTGCAAGGTCCCAAACTTAGGAGGAACATCTTGACCATCTGCAGAAGCTGTTTAACAAGCTGAAGTTGTACAAGCTGAGGTTAAACCCGAACAAGTGCACCTTCGGGGTAAGGTCTGGTAAGCTGCTGGGTTTCATCATAAGCGACAAAGGTATTCAAGTCGAACCTGCAAAGGTGAAAGCTATACAAGAAATGCCAGCTCCCAGAACAGAGAAAGAAGTCAGAGGCTTTCTGGGATGTCTAAATTACATTGCCCGATTCATCTCACACCTGACTGCTACTTGTGAGCCAATCTTCAAGCTACTGAAGAAAGATCAGGTAGCATGTTGGAACGATGAATGCCAGGCCGCTTTCGAAAGGATTAAGGAGTATCTCCAAGAGCCACCCATTCTG